CCAGGTTTAGGTACAGTACGTCCACGTTCATTTCCTTGAGGCAGGGCTGTGTTTCCCATGGACGCCAGGCAGCAGTGCTGTAATACACAGGAGAGACCTTGCCAAGAATACTGACGGCCACAGGATCACCAAAAAAAAATCCCAAATCCATCCCTTCCTTTTACCGCTGCTGCTATGCCCTGCCCAGTCCGTGCCGTCTTTACAGCCGCCCTGCAGCGGCTTCCAACCCCTGTCCCTGCTGCCAGTACTGTCAGTTCTCCACCTGCCTGCCAGCCAGAGACATCTTCTTAATCACACACATTGTGTCACGTCACTCCCATGTCAAAACCTTCCAAGGGACTTCCAATTGCATTTAGCATGAAACTACAACTATTGATCTCGTCTCATCCTTCCACCCTGGTCCCCAGATATCTGCTCTCAGCACAGCAGCCAGAGTGATTTAGATCAGGTAATTCCCCTGCCCAACACCTCGCGTGGCTCCCATCTCACTCAGAGCTGACGCCAGAGCCCTCGCGGTGGCCTCCAAAGGCCCCACACAGGCCAGCAATCCATTACTCTCAGACCCCATCTGGTACCATTCCCATTCAAACTCTTCACTCCTCCAGGCCTGGAATGCTCTTCCCCCGGTCCCCCAGTGTGGCTTACGTCCCCACCTCACTCTGGGTCATGGCTCCAATGCCACCTCCTCCTGAGGCTCCACTGATCACGCTCACACTGCATATTCTCCCCTCCCTCTCTCCCTCACTCCCTTTCCTGTCTTATTTTTTCTCCAGCACCTTGGTCACATCTGACATGATGTAAATGTTACTGGCTCATTTATTGGTTCACAAGGATGCAGCTCCATGAAGTTAAGGATTCTGATCTGCTCTCTTCACTTCTCTTTCCCAAGAACAGTGGGAAAACACTGTTCTCCTCGAACAGTGCTGGTACATCACAAGTGCTTAGTGAAAGCCACCGAATGAGAGAAAGAGCTGACTCCCGCCTTCCCGGCCCACCTCCCCGCCCAGGCACAGTGACCTTCTCTCTGTTCCTCCAGCAGCCAAGCTCGTGCCCACGTCAGCACGTTGCACACGTGCTGCTCACTTCTACCTGGAATGCTCTGTGACAGCTACTCCAGCCCAGGCACTCTCATGTCAGATCCGAAAGTGTCTCGTTTATTCAGGAACCTACTTGTTTGTTTTCTGTCTCCACCACTGAAGCAGAATCTCCACAGCAGGGACTTTGTGCTGTTCACAGAGGCTTCCCTGGTGCTTGCGGTGGGCTCAGTATTTAGTAGGTGCTTAATAAATATCTGTTGGAGGTGCAACCAATCGAGCTTATGTGGGTATCAGTTTTCTCGAATATAAAATAAGAAAGGTGAGGCTGGATGATCGTTTGCACCTGTAATCACAGCACTTTGGGAGGCCAAAGCAGCCCTCGAGTCCAGGAGTTTAAGACCAGCCTGGGAAACACACTGAGACCCCACCTCTACAAAAAAATCAAAAAAACTGCCGGTGTAGTGGTGCACACCGATGGTCCCAGCTTCTCCGGAGGCTGCGGCAGAAGGACTGCTAGAACCCAGGTGGTCGAGGCTGCAGCAAGCCGTGATTGTGTCACTACCCTTCAGCCTGGGCAACAGAGTGAAACCCTGTCTCAAAAATATTTTATATATATACACACACACTATATGTATATATTTATATATTTTATAATATATATTATATATATTATTTATTTTATATATATATGCGCCTGCCTTGGCCTCCCAAATGCTGTTATTACAGGTGCAAACCACCTCATCCAGCCTCCGCTTTCTTATTTTATATTCGAGAAAACTGAGACCCACATAAGCTCAATCGGTATATATACATAAAATAAGAAAGCTGATACCCTAAGATACTCTCTAGCTAAGACACTCTCTAGGTCTCTTTGGGCTCTGAAATGTTGATGGCACATTCTTGTAACACAGTAGAGTTTACAAACAGCCTTCACGTGTAACAGCTCGCGCAGAGCCCTGGAAGGTAATTAACCCGATTGTAATCATTCAGTTTTTTTGCATCTGAAAAAAATTATTGACGATGAGACTGGTCCAAAGAGACAGCTGTTAGCTGGTGGAGCTGGGTCTAAATCCACAATTTTGTCAGTGCCGCTACAATGGTAGCAGAATTAAGCAGGATTTTCTAGTCCTTACAAATAGGTTCCAGACAGCACAGATTTGCTGGTTTACTTCACACTAATCCAAAAAAGTACTTCGTATGAACTTCCAATTGTTTTCCCGAGTTTTCCCTGAACACGCTGGTCATCTGAGAAAGAACAGTCAATCAGTACAGACTTATGGGCTCAGGAGTACCTGACCGTTGAACACGGAGATCTGTGTAGGGAACTGCGTCCTTCGAAGCAGGCACTGGAATCCCTGTTTTCAGCTCGCTGGGTGTGTGGAAGCATCTGTCTGAGCTCCCCCAGCCCGCCGAGGACGGGGCGCCCCGCAGCAGGGCAGGTGCGCTCAGGAAGAGGAGAACGACGTTCTCAGGTTGTGGCCTGAGTGTGGAAAGCTGCGCGAGTTCCAGAGGGCGCCTGGGAAACTCCGCCACTGTGCCCGGCTGAGACTCCGGGGTCCCTGTCCCCACCCGCCCTGTCCCGGGCGCGGCTGAGGCGCACGGAGGGCAGGGGCAGCCCCGCACTCCCGCAGACCCCCGGCCCCGGGCCCCGCCTCACCCGTAGGTGGTCAGCAGCGCCTTGTTGACCAGCACGATGAGGAAGGAGCAGGTCCCGTAGAAGAGCGCCGACAGCAGCCGGGCCACCCGCGAGGGCAGCCGCGCCGCGCCGGGCTCGCCGCCAGCGCCCTCGGCCTCGGCCTGGCAGGCGGCCGTCATCTCCCGCGGCCGAGCGGACCCCGCCGTCCGCCAGCCCCGGCCGCGCACTGGTCCCGCCCGGCCGGGCCGGGGAAGAGGGCGCGGCAGGAACAGGAAGAGCCCGGCGCAACCCCAGGTCCCGGCCCGCCCCCTGCCGGCGCCCCGAGGCCGGCGCGGGAGGACCCTGCGCGGTGCGCCTCACCCGGGCTCCAGGCACCTCCTCCGGTCTCCAGGGCCAGAAGCGCGTCGGGGAGTTGAAAAGCGCTGCCTTCCTCCAGACTTTCCTGGAGAGAAACGCTTCAGTACGTCTCAGGACTTGTTCTGCTTTTTTTTTTCCTACAACTTTTTTGTTTAGTGTGTAATTTACGTGCAATGAAGTGTACACATCTTGCCAGTCCATAGTTTCAGATGAGCTTCGACAAAGGCATCCACCGAGTAACCACTCAAAACAGAACATTTCCATCGCCCCAAAAAGTTCCCCTTGCTGCCCCTTTGAAGTTAACGCCCGCATCTCATGGATGACTATTGCTGCAGGTTAGGTTTGCCGTTTCCGGAATTTCAAATAAACAGGGTGCTTTCTAGAATTTATGAATGAGCGTGTGGTCTCAGGGTTTTTCACTCCATGTTGTGGACTCGACCATGTGGTTTGTTTAATCGTTGAGTAGTATCACAAATTGTGTCTCCATTGGTTGTTTCGTTTAGGACCCTTAGGAAAAATGCTTCCATGAAAATTCGTGAGCGTTTGTGGGACCTGTGTTTTCATTTCTCTTAAATAAATATCTAGGAGTGCAGTGGCTAGGAGTAAGGTGGGTGAAGCCTTGGGACTTGGGTGTCCTCTGGGTGCTTTGTAGCAGGTCCACTCCTCGCGGAGGGCCCTTTTTCTTCGGGTCAGGTCAGTTGAAGGAGAGCTTCCCAGAACCGCCTAGTCTTGTCAGTCTTTAAAAAAATATGAACTTTTGGCCGGGCGCAGTGGCTCACGCCTGTAATCCCAGCACTTTGGGAGGCCGAGGCGGGCGGATCACGAGGTCAGGAGATCGAGACCATCCTGGCTAACACGGTGAAACCCCGTCTCTACTAAAAATACAAAAAACTAGCCAGGCGAGGTGGCGGCGCCTGTAGTCCCAGCTACTCGGGAGGCTGAGGCAGGAGAATGGCGGGAACCCGGGAGGCGGAGCTTGCAGTGAGCTGAGATCGCGCCACTGCACTCCAGCCTGGGCGACAGAGCAAGGCTCCGTCTCAAAGAAAAAAAAAATTAATTTAAAAACAACAACAACTATATATATATATATATATATATATGAACTTTTAGCTTCTTAGAAAAACTGAAGATTTCAAGTTAAATAAAAGTTGGGGCCCAACTATATAGATGCGCAGAGAATTGTTTTTCTACTCTTAGGCACTAAACAACCAGGAGAATGAAAACTGGGAAACATATTCAGCCCTGATAAGAACTAAAGCAGAACTCGTGAAAATTAGCTAGCATTAAAAAGACCAGAAGAGCCCAAGTTACCCAAAACAAGAAAGAAAAACATGTTAAGTCCGTTTTAAAAGAGAAAATGAATCCATATTCGACTTGAACAGGAAATCATTTTGGTTAATTTCCTCAGAACATTCAGTTTTCTTGTGAGTCTCCAAATATTTTGACTGCAAAAAGAATACTTTGAAGTCACTTAATGACAGCCTTCATCATACTTGCATTTAGTTTGCTTGTATATACATACTTCCAGGACCTTAACTCGCTGTCAAAATCCCATCCTTACCCTGTTTAAATAGCAACTCACGCTAAGGAGTTGCTTGCGATATTCTTCTGCACAAGGGTAGGACAGGCTGACCCTTGCCATTGCAAACACACGACTAAAGATCTACCAGAAATAACTGATGAAAAAAGAAAACCAATTTGCTATACTCTTAGATAAGTACACAGGCTTTAAGTGGATTCTTGAGGTGAGCCCAGAGTCAACCCATCCTAAATGTAAGTGAAATGAAATCCCAGTTCCTTATTACCCTAATTTAAGGCCTGGGAATGGGGTGGCAAGAGTTCAATACCTATCCACAGCAGTATATTTTTAACACTGTAGTAATGAACCAGATGAGGAAGTTAAATATCCATAACCTTAAAGGCCATAATTTAAGTAAGAAAAAGCAATCCACACTGTACTTACAACTACGCAAACATGTACTGAAATAATACTGATGGCTGAATATAAGGCTGTAGGTAATGTTTCTGTCTTTTAAAATTTTTTATATCATGGTTATTATATTTTTGATAGGAAAACAAATTATAAAGGCTTTAAGAATGACTGCGTACTTTAAATTTTAAATTAAAATAAATTTTTATTCAAAGCATCTTTTAAAATTACAGCATGTTTATTCTTATGCTGTTAACTCTGCCAAACTACAACTCAGCCATATGAAGCATAAAACACTTCAAAAATTTGAATGTAAACCACATTTTTTAAAACAAAAAGCAGTCTTAACACACCTCAAATTTTAGATACCAATGTATTTTCCCAAGTATATAGCTTATATCAAAAAAGAACATTTTAAATGTTTCTATGGTAAATAGTTGTAATTATTTCTTAAACTGTTGCAATTATACAAATAAAAAATGTTTATGAAAAAACTATTAGAGTTGACAAAAGCTGACTGGAGAAACAAGGAAAACCCTTTCTTTTGAAGGCTTTAAATGTTATCATCTGTGAATTGGCAAATATTTGTATTTGAAAAATTCTTACTACCCTTCCTTCTTTAGTTAAGTTGATCAAAGTTCAAATTTCCCAAGACTGATAAGTGTTGTTTTTAGTTCATTAAATCACATATTTGAGAGCAAACATTCTAGACAAAATGCTGAAACATAAACCAAGATAATTCAGATGCTATAGTCTCTCTTACCAGCTTGTAAGTGCTCCAAATTAAAATTCTATATACCACATTACGAACAAAATTCTTAGACCATTACAAATATAAATTCTCTTATTACAAAAAAATCCCTAAAGATTTGCAATTTACTGTACAGAGGAATTACATTTTTAAAGTATGTCCTCGTCATACACATTATTTGTAACTATCGTATCTTCTTTCATACTTTTTCTCCTCTTCAAGACATTTACATGCCTCCCCTTCCCCGTGGCTACATATTTTAAACTATCTGTGTACTATGACACATCGGGATTTTTGGATAAAGAAGCCTACTTTCTAATGTTTAAACTACATCTGTAGGAACCCCTTCAACTCAAAAAAGCTAAAAAGGCACTGAAGAGCCTGTATTTCCCTCTATTACTCTGAGTTTTACTCCAATTAAGCAATCTGTAAATTACCATGCTATGCATGTCATTTAGTTCTGTTTAGAACAAAAGCCAAAATGATGGAAGTTTTGCCTACATAAACGAGGTGTTCTGCTCAGCTCTTGATTTTTCTGTTCATGCTTCAGTACATAAAGTGGTGTTTAATAACTTTATTTGGAAAAACGGCTTAAAACCACCACACAAGTTAACACACTTGCAGTTAAAACTATTTCAGAAGCCTACTTATTTGAGTAGCTAATATTTTCTGCAGTGTTTAACTGATAGCTAAATTTAGTGAACACAAAATAGCCTGGCATGTTACTCTGAAGTAAAGCAAGAAGGTGGCTTTATGCACTGAAAATATAAATATGGAGGCTTCCATTTGCTAATAATTCTAAACAAGCAGTAAAATTAAAATGTAGTGTTTGCTAATAAAAGATCTAAAACATTTCACTACAAAACAACCCTGTAGGTGTCCCTTTAGTGAAAATCCAAGTGCCAAATCTCATTACAGGGCCCTTAATAGGTATTTTTAAAATTACCAATTACTATGTTACCTAGACTTTGCAAGATTAATCACTCAATTTCAGCAAATGAGAAATATGAAATGTGCAAAAGTTCCCAAGTTATCATGCTAGGGATGACAAGTGCTTTTCAAACTTAAACATTATACTGAGTTGTAAAGCCCCAGAAAGATAGAATAAGACTGATTTTGCTCCAATTTCAAAAACTCTGACCTATTGTGCATCTTACCAAGATCCTCAAATACCTATTTTCTTCTAAGTCCATTACTTAGAACATCTTCCAAAATAGTCAGCCCCCCATTTCTCTAGCCTTACTGGGCACAGTATTTTGCAATTAAAATTATCTATCTTACATATTTTATACTTTCTTGCTTGCTTCAGTGTTTACAGTATTGTTAAACATACTAATATATATTGTTAAAAATGATCTTATAAATAATCTGTTTCAACTTTCTTTGGCTATTTGTACCATTCCGTTTTTCAAACAAGTGTCTTATTCAGAAAGTGCTTCCTGTGAGAACTGCTTCCAATGAATGCATTAAACTTGCAAAATCTAGCTTCCCACAATATGTAGTTTTCTACCCTGTACTGTGCAATCCATATTTACAAAATATTTTAAACTTTACAACAAATTCATTTCCATATAAAAAAAGTGCATTTCTCTCTCACCCCATATTCTGGGGCAATAACATTCTTCATACATTTCTACAGAATAGCAGCCTATGATAAGCAAATAAGGTGCTTAGCTTATGCCCAAGGATCTACTTTTTAAGTACGCTGGGCAGTACTTTTGTACAGTGGAAGAGTCAGTGTCCAGGCTACTGTCGGAGTGGTGCCCCAGTCAGGTTGGCAAGCTCTATGAGCGCGAGGGCTCCGTGCAGGCGCTCCCGCTGCTCCTGCAGCCGGCGCTGGGCCCCTCTCTTCTCGTCATCCTCCTCATCAGACTGAAGGTATTCCAGAGGGTCCTGCTGCTCCTGATCAGCCTTCTGAACCAGCTTGCCTTTCAAGGTGGGGGTGCGCTGTTCTCTCATTTCCCAATACCTATGTGAAATGCATCCACATTAGTTACGTGGCAGACATGAAATTTCCAAATGTTTACTTTTCTTTTAAAAAGTTCCGAACCACAGTATTACTTTTATGTGGTTCAGTTTATAAAGTTAAAAAGTGATTTAACATACATTTCTTATTTATAGAGGGAAGAAACTGAAGTTCAACGAGGTTAAGAGACATGCTCGGGTTTCCATAATAAACCTGGCAGTTCTAGATCTTTTA